TTTTTTGGTATTTATATGTCTTTCTGGATATTTTCTGAGCTTCCTGGATGTATTTTGGTGTCTGTCATTAATTTTGGAAATTTATCAGCCTTTATTGCTTCAAATATGTCTTCTCTTCCTTTTACTATCCCTCTCAACGTGAGATAGGAAGGAAAGGGGACTGGAATTATCTATTTTCCCTTTCCCCTAGGGTAGAAAGGGGATCTTCTCTGATCTTCATCATTAGAATTTGGTGGGGTTTCTCAAGGTAAACCCCAGAGAACTGTGGGTTTCCCCCTGAAGACTGGGTCTCCAGAGTTCTTATATAGTGAAGTGAAAGTTGCTCAGTCATGTCCGACTCTTTGTGACCCCATGGACTATACAGTCCATGGAATTCTCCAGGCCAGAATACTGGAGTGGGTAGCTGTTCCCTTTTCCAGGGGATCTTCCCAACACAGGGACTGAATCCAGGTCTCCTGCATTGTGGGTGGATCTTTTACCAGTTGAGCCACAAGGGAACCCAAGAAAACGAGTGGGTAGCCTGTCCCTTCTCTAGCAGATCTTCCTGACCCAGGAATCGAACCAGGGTCTTCTGCATTGCAGGTGGATTCTTTACCAACTGAACTATCAGAGAAGCCCTGATATCAGGGTTCTTAACACTCCAGCTATTCCTTACTTGGTCTTCAGAAATTCATCAAAGATACCATAAGTGTTTCTGCGTTACTGGGTCCAGTAGCTTCTGTTTCCAGGAAACTGATCTTGGCTGTGGTCCTCTGTATTTGCCTATTTCTCCAGATTTTGATGTTAGTGGTTTGTCCTGTGACCTTACTTCTCAGATGGATCTTTAAAAAAGTTATTGTCAGTTTGCCTGGCTTTTTCTTATTTGTGAGGATGGGAGTAATAACTGCCTAGTTGTTTAATTTTCCCCCCTTAGCTTTTTGAAAAAAATTATTTCACTTTCTTCAGTTGCTGCTGTTCTGGAAAGTTTCCAGCCATTATCTCTTTGTATAGTACCTTTTCACCTTTCATTTTGGATCTTTGATTATAAGACCACCATATGAATGGGTTACTAATGTGTTGTTAATGATCTGCTATGCTGGTCACCACTGGTTGCAGGAAGCTTATTCATTTACCTCATTGTGCTATGAATGAATGCTATTTTTTTTAATGTTGTTATGACGTGAAAAGAGTTGTGAAGTACTGTTGTAGACCTTCTCTCTCAATCATGCCTCTTATCTTTGTTCATTTACATATACACAAATGCACATTAAAAATGTATTCTGGCTAAATTCTTTAGATGTATATTTCAGTTTAAATGTCTCTACAAATATGTCTAACCTGCCTTTAGATCCATCTTTTTTTTTTTTCCTCCCCAATTACACTTGTCTTTAAATTTACTGAATATACTAATTTACCAGTCTTGGCAACTACCCTCTAAGAGAAAGCTAGCTTCAAGTGCAGCTCATCTCTTTAGGTACCTGCCTGCATGTAGTGTTAAATTTTTTAAGTCCAGCATTTCTTAATGGAAGGTTAGGACACTTCTAGTGTTCTGTCAGGGTAGCAGTCTAATTATATCTTAAGATACATATTTTCATCCTTTTTTTTTTTTTTTTACCAAAAGGTTAGTATCTTGGCATTGACTTGTACCTGGATATTATCAACCCAAATAATTCATTATCAGAACTTTAACTGTTTACTTCAACAATATCAAGTTCACTGCTTTAACAAGAGTACTGCTACAGGTAACCTTAAAAAATGAACTTTTAAAAAATGGGTTGTGGAAAATTTTCTTATTTTGGAGTATTACTAATACTCCTTAAGTCCTGTGACATTAAATGACAAAAATAGCATTAAGGTTGATGTGTGCTTTGGAAAAGCTTAAGTAGATATAGTCATATAAGGAGCTTCCCTGGTGGCTCAGAGAGCAAAGAATCTGCCTGCAATGCAGGAGACCTGGGTTTGATCCCTGGGTTGGGAAGATTCCCCTGGAGGAAGGCATGGCAACTGACTCCAGTATTCTTCCCTGGAGAATCCCCATGGACAGAGGAGCCTGGTGGGCTACAGTCCAAGGGGTCCAAGCAAAGAGTTGGACACGACTGAGCAATAAAGCACAGTCATGTACACCATCCATAGATTTTTTTTAGCCACTTTGAAACCACAGTTACTAATGGAATGAAGGCTTTAAAAAATTGGAATGCTACTTACGTGGAAGAGGTACATAGCTATCAACTCCGCATTTTAGAAAGCTTATAATGCCTGCTGGTTCACAGACCTTCTGTCATTAGTTGTTGAAAATGCTACATTTTTACTAATATAGACAAGATACTTTGTATTTTCCAGAAGTTTTCTAGTTTGCCTTTGCTTGCTGAAAGTAGTCTCACTGAAGTTCGTATACCAGTTTACTTTTGTAAACTTTCAAGATAGCATTGCTCCTTTCTGGATAAGATACCTCTGTCCAACAGTCCAGCTCCAAAGCTGCATTAACTAATTCTTTAATAGTACTCAAGCTCACTTTTTTAGGTCGTCCTTTTCTTTCATAATTGCTTTCTTTTAAAGTAGTTTTCATTGGGAGTATAGTTGACTCACAATGTTCTTAGGTTCTGCTGTACAGCACAGTGAATCAGTTATACAGGCAGCCACTCTTTTTTCAGATTCTCTTCCCATATAGGTCATTACAGAGTATTGAGTAGAGTTCCCTGTTCTTATTATATTTTATATATGGTAGTGTGTGTATATATATATATATATATCAGTCCCAGTTTCCCAATTTATCCCTCCCACCCTTCCCCCTTGGTAACCTTAGTTTTTTCCCCTACAACTATGACTATTTCTGTTTTGTAAATAACTTCATTTGTATGTAAGCAGTGTTACTGTTGTTCAGTTGCCCAATCATTTCTCACTCTTTTTGACACCATGGATTGCAGCACGCCAGGCCTTCCTGTCCCTCACCATCTCCTGGAGTTTGCCCAAGTTGATGTACATTACATTGGTACATGTAATGTACCATCCAGCCATCTCATCTTCTGTTGCCCTCTTCTCCTTTTGCCTTCAGTCTTTCCCATCAGGGTCTTTTCCAATGAATTGGCTCTTCACATCAGGTGGCCACAGTATTGGTGTTTCAGCATCAGTCCTTCCAGTGAGTATTTAGGGTTGACTGGCTTTAAGATTGACTGGTTTGATCTCCTTGCTGTCCAAGGGGCTCTCAAGAGTGTTCTTCAGCACCAGAGTTTTAAAGTATCAATTCTTTGGCATTCTGCCTTCTTTAAGGTCCAACTCTTACAGTCGTACCATGACTACTGGACAGACCATAGCCTTGACTATACGGACCTTTGTTAGCAAAGTGATGTCTTTGCTTTTTAACACACTGTCTAGGTTTTTCTAGCTTTCCTGCCAAGAAGCAGTTGTCTTATAATTTCATGGCTACAGTCACCATCCACAGTGATATAAGCAATATCATGTGATAGTTATCGTTTCTCTGACTTACTCTGTATGACAGACTCTAGGTCCATCCATGTTGCTCTAGATGGCATTATTTTATTCTTTTGTTCATTATTATATGAACAAAATATTTTATATTTGTTCATTATTTTGTTCTTTTTTATGGCTGAGTAGTAATATTTCATTGTATATATGTACCACATCTTATTTATCTGTTTCTCTGTGGATGGACATTTAAGTTGCTGGCTATTATAAATAGTGCTGCAGTGGACACTGGAGTGCTGCATGTATTTGGAATTATGATTTTCTTTAGTTATATGCCCAGGAGTGGAATTACTAGATCATATGGTAGTTCTATTTTTAGTTTTGAAAGAACCTGTATAATGAAGCTTCCCAGGTAGCGCTAGTGGTAAAGAACCCACCTGCCAATGCAGGAGATGTAAGAGATGCAGGTTCAGTTCCTGCCTTGGGACGATCCCTTGGAAGAGGGCATAGCAACCTAATCCAGTATTCTCACCTGGAGAATCCCATGGACAGAGGAGTCTGGAGGGCTGCAGTCTATAGGGTTGCAGAGTTGGACAAGACTGAAGCAACTCAGCATGCACAACACATACTGTTCTCCATAATGGTTGTACCAATTGATGCTTCTCCCAACAGTGTAAAAGGGTTTCCTTTTCTCCACACCCTCTTCAGCATTTATTATTTCTAAATTTTTTGATGGCCATTCTGACTGATATGATACCTCATTGTACTGTTGATTTGCATTTCTTTAATAATCAGTGATGTTGAGCATCTTTTCATGTGCTGTTTAGCCATTTGTATGTCTTCTTTGGAGAAATGTCTGTTTAGAGCTGCCTATTTTTTGATTTAGTAGTTTCATTTTTGATACTGAGCTGCATGAATTGTTTGTGTACTTTGGAGATTAATCCCTTGTTCACTTCGTTTGCAAATTTTTTCTCTCATTCTATGGGTTGTTTTTTTTGCTTTGTTGATGGTTTTCTTTGCTGTGCAAAAGCTTTTAAATTTAGGTCCCATCTATAATTTCTTCTATATAGTATGAAATATGTCATTGTATTACTATTACTAATGTACTATTAGTCATTGTATAACTAAAATTTTTGACTAAGTAACTGAGTTTGAGCAAGCTCCAGGAGTTGGTGATGGACAGGGAAGCATGGTGTGCTGCAGTCCACGGGGTCACAAAGAGTCAGACACAACTGAGTGAGTGAACTGAACAGTAGTGTAGAGAAAAATCATTCAAGTTGGCGTGTCTTCTGTAGTGGAAGTGTAAAAAGTTGTAGGAAGGAAGAAGGCTATAGATATTCCAGATCAGCAGTGACTTCCTCCTCCCTGCCATGTGGTTCGTATACCTCTCCATTTCTCCATGATACCTATCTAATCTTATTAATCTTAGCCTTTCTAAAATTTTACATTTATGAAAAATCTAAAGTACCAGGAAATAGCAGACTTGGTATCAATTATTTAGTGCTTTGTATACAAACAAACATTTCTAGACTTCTACGTTTTATGTTTTTGACATATTTTAGAAGTTCATTTTAGAAGAGAATAGATGTTCTACCAACCTGAAGAGAGGAGCAGTAAGGTTTTCATACAGAGATACTCTTCATAAGATACCTGAAGCCTGTTTAACTCAGAGGAAACATATAGCATATGTTTACATTGGTCATACATGCAGGGTAAAGCCATTCTCTGCCTGTGAAAGACAAATATCAAGTGTTTGAATTAAAGAGAAGTAATTCTTGTTCTGCAAAAAGTACTTTTCTATTTTGCAAAGCGTTTATTAACTCATCTAACTATTGCAATTAATGCGAATTCCCTCTGATGTGAATTTTGGAAAGCTTTCCTTAAGTATTTAGAATTTATTCCTATAGAATCTTTTATCAGTCTTTCATTTAAATCAAGCTTTTATTGTAGTATTTAAATATGAGCAGTTAGACAACACAGTTTTAAATCTTACCCAGTTGAAAATCAAGTTATTTTTTCCATAGCACTGCATTCTAAAGACAACTGTGTGTGATAATGTTTATAGTTATGGAGAGGGTCAGAAATAAAACTTGACCGTAGGCTTTCTGATACCCAAAATCTGCCTCTGACCAATGTTATGTGACTGAATATTCTTCCAAATAAAGGTACTACAAAATGAATTCTCAGTTAGGGTTCTCAACAGTTACGATCACATCTATGATTTTCAAGTAGATCTCTCAAGTTTCTTAACCTTTTAAATGACACAAAGAGCCTGAAACTGTGTCTCTTCATGGTTTAAAATAAGATCTGTTTTTAAATTTTTTGACAAAAAGTGACCTTGGACTTAAGAAAAAAATAAGGAGACAAGAATGGGAAACAGAATGCCCACTTGAAAACTATTGTTTCTGTAAGCCATCCATCCTCAAATAAAGTCAAACACTGAGAAAAAATTTCTGTAACTCCTAATTAAGAAATATATCAGGTTATGCTATGATGGTTTAAATCTAAATTTGAGTACCCTCCCAAATAAATACTCTGAGTCAGATTAATTTTATAAAAGATATGTTGGTGTTTCATATCATAACTCTATTCACACTTTTATTCCCAATTAATGACTTCAACTTTCTTTTTAGACAGTGACATTGTCAACATGTTTTTAACTTCTAAAGTAAGCATGGTCAGATTCTGAAATGAGCAGCAAGTACTTAAGAGATTTCAAAGGTGTTTAAGCTTACATATAAGCTACATATTTTTAATTAGTTAAATTTAATCAAAAAACTTAAATCTTGTTCAGCCACAGCACAGTGGATTGAGCAGTCCTTTTTTGGCAATAGTCAGTCAGGGTGACGTCCGTGTTTGAAGTAGACACTTGAAAGTATGTGTGGAGATCTGGCCTGATCAAGCACATGCCAGTGCCTACTAACGAAAAAGGATAGAATTAATAGAAGGCAGAGTTTGGTTAAAGCACGCCCTTCACAGGCCTCTTGTCATGTCGCTTCTACCCATGAAGCCTGGGCTTTTCTCCTTCACGCCTCATTCAGTTACTCCTCCTCGAAGAAGCCACTAGTAACTCATCTGAAAACGACCTCTGTCTAGTAAAAACTCAAATTTTACTTTATTTGATGGTTATCTGTGTCTCCCCAACTAGAGTGTAAGCAATAAAGGCAGGGAACCTTGTTTGTCTTGTTCTCTGCTAATACTGTAGCAGGCACATACTAGGAGTGTGGTAAGTATTTGATGTTCCCCTGTAATCGGTTTTCCTGTTTGAAACTGCCCCTCTCTCCTCCCAGTGCTGGCTTCTTCGTGCTCCTAAAACAAACTCTGTCTCATGGCTTTCAAGATGCTGCTTGACTTGGTCCCTGTCCACTTCTCTAAACTCACAGAAAGTCCTTGTTGGCTTTCTCTCAGTTCCTCACATATGCCAAGGTTGTTTTTCAGCCTTTGTAGTCATCTCTTCTGCCTGAAATGCCCTTCCTTTCCTATAAGCTTGTTCTTTTGTACTATTCAGTTCTCAGATATTTAGAGAGGTCTTCTATGGTACCCCACACTATTATGTTATGGCTCTCTGAAATAAATTTGGTCCTTTATTTGGTATGTTAGCAAAGCCTTATGTAGTATAGCTCAAGCTCTTAAAAACAGTGTCTGACACTTGTTAAGTACTCAAATATGATTAAATGAATACTGTGCTGGAAAATAAGTATCACCAATAGAGATACACCGCCAAGTTTAACTTAGCAGTTAAGCCTCTTAAAATATCTAGAGCTAGTATCATCTAGACTCTACTAAACAGATAAAATTTGACCTTTACTGTGTCATAAGGCAAGCCCTGCTGTTTAACACTCAGCTCAAATAGATGCTTTTTTTTAAAATAACTTCTACACATTATTTTTGTGCCTGGTACACCCAACAGTGAAAACAATATGTCTGCTTGATCTTCACAGGATATCTTTTTAGGCAGTCCTCATCATTCCTTTTCTCCTTTACACATCCTCTGTTCATCAACAGATGTTAATTTCTAAACTTATTGCCACTCTGGACATAGTTTTTTTAATATGGGATCCAGTTTTGAACAGGATCTACTAATGATGGATCAACTCACATTGAGTATAGTGAGACTGTTATTCTAATAACATGGTTGAAGATTTTCATTAATTTTTTTTTTTTTGGACCCCATAGTCGACAGCACCCAGAGCTCACAATTAAATCTTTTTTTCACATGAATACAGATCTCCTTCTGCCCAGATCAGTGGGTATGCATATGTGAGTGTGTGTGACTTCCCTGTTTGCTATCTAATAAAGGAGATAAGCTGTGAGTGCAAAAGTAGTAATAAAAGGTAGAATGTGATAAAGGCTAGGGATATACAACAGAGAGGTTTTTACCTGGTGGTATGACCATCATGAGCTAGGGGTATGTTTGAAGAACTGATCATCTGAGGGGAAAAAGAATATGTGAAGGAGAATAACAAGAGATATTCTGGAAAGCCAGAAACCATGCTGAGTATGCACTGAGTGCTCAGTGAAGACACCTGTGTGTTAAGAAGAAAAACTTAGCATGATGGAGGATACACGGGCAGCAGAAAGCTGGTTAGAAAACAAGTGCAATGGGTAAGGGCGAATAGGTATCTGAAATATTTCACAGCATAGACCTAGAGGACTAGAGGATAGCTCATTTATCAGATCTTAGTGTGGTTGGTTTTCTCCCATTTTCTTTACGACACATAGACATTGAGTGAGCCTTGCCATGCAAAGAGATGCTTCTTGTCTTTGGGTCCATATCTGTCAGCCCTTCATCCTAGTTGTCCTCATCTGTTCATTGTCCCTGCTGAAAGTAAGATCAACATGAATTGTATTATGCTGTTTCCTTTCTGAAATATGAGCATATAATTAAAACAGTGCCACAGTAAGTTTCCTTTTCCCTTGCTATAGACTTTACTGACCCCAAGAGATGCTATTTAAAAAATATCCTTCAGTATGTCCTGGTACGTAATAGCGCCACATGTAATTTGCTCTGTAGTACATTCTGGCCTGCCTTAAGCATTGATAAACTCTGCTTCAAGATACTTGGTAGGTTGCCCAGTTCCAAGATAACCTGGTAGGATTGATTCAGTCCTGAAGGAATTATGAATACAGGGAAAAAGACTCACAAGTGACTTACTCATTAATAATCAGATCAGGAGCAAAACACAGCATATTTGCACTTGATTGTCTGTATGATCTCCACCCCAGGGCGAATGCCATGAGGAACATCCATGAATATTGCAGTAGAGTCATTTGGTCATCCAGATGTAAGTTCCTGAATCCTGAATTAAGAGGAATAAAAGGTATGAGGAAACACTCTCGTTGCCAAAGAGAAGATCCTCTCTCTGGGACCTGCCAAAGACAGTTTTGGAAGACTAATAGAAGAAATGAAGTGTTAAGTGGATACAGTTTTCCTTTGTCATTTGACAGGTAAGACCAAAGCTCTGAGTAACTTTTTAATAGTATTCAATGTTAGAAAAAAGAGTAGCCAGTTTTTGTCACCTTTTGCTTATTTGAGTAAATATGGACTAAATAGTAAAATGCTATATTAAAAAGTAAAACAGAAAGCCGAGAGTCCTGGCAGACATTACTCATTCAGTGGATTTAAGTTAAAAAAATGCTCCTGATATTTATACCTCTTTACCCCTAGATTAAGTAGGGATGACAGGAAGCCATGGGACCAGGGTGATACAGAGCCAGAGTGTTTTATGTGAAACATTCTAAGGTTTACACCTTAGTGGTGGTATCTTTTGCATCTTACCTGGTATTGCCTTTGCCCATTTCACTGCTGCAATCACCTGCCGCCCACCTAACATGTTGAGTGCGGTCATGATCCGCCAAGTTGAATCTGGAATAGAGCTGTCATATCCTGCATATAACACCTCGGGTTCAATGACTTCCAGCAGTGACACCAACGTAGGCGTGAGCTGTGGTAATGTTGCAGGAACTATTGTTTTGTTAGCAGGATTTTCAGAAGTTTCTTGCGAGACTCCTGTAGTGGCCTGCTGAATTCCTTTTATCTTTTTCTTTGTTTTCCGAGCTGTGGGTATATTAAAAAAAAAATACACAGAAATCAGCTGTAATGGGAAAGTCTGGGCAGCATAGTTTATTCAAGATGTATTTCAGTTGCTGAAACTAATTTGAAAGAGGAGAAATCTTTTATGTAGCAGTTATGATACAGTGACATGAAAGAAGGGAAAAACACAATTTTTTTCCTGAAAGCAAAGAATCAAGAGGAACCCATTCATTCAATTTCCTCTACAAATAAGACAGTTACTTCATTATAGTTAAAATTTAATCTTACTATGTTAAAACAATATAAACATATCACTTACATATTCTTCCATTAAAGTAATTTGTCTCAATTTCACTCCAAAGTAAAAACTTGTATTAGTTTTATAAGGCAAATTACTATCGACTGAAAGAAGAATTTAAGCTTGTAATACCAGTAACTGTATTAGGGTTAATCTAAATTATGGGTATAATGAAGAGAGTGATGCTGTTTATCGTCTTGCACAAGAGATCATGCACGCAGAAAGGTCCACATTTCACCTTTATATGATGTATACTATATGGGATTTAAAATCTTTGTGGACATTCAGAGAAAACCATTTCTTTATATAAATTACCACTTGGTATAATTTCTTTTATAAGAGATTTTAACTGATGATTCTATAAACCTAAAGTATCTATTTTCATTTTTGAAATATATTTTCCATTTTAGCTTTTATTTTTTACTTAGTTTGGAACAGTATAATTGAATTAAAAGATGGATTCTGTAGGTTTTTTTAGCAGACATATTCATATTCTTGAATTTACTTGTTCCAGTGACAAATGAAATATTCTTTTCTGGTTATATGTGGGGCCAAAGCAAGCAAATTACAGTATTCTTAAAGAGAAATTACTCAGAACTCCAGGGAGGGACAAGGAATGTAAGTTGTATGAAAGCAGTAGTGTGCCTGTCTCAGTTATCAGGTATGTAGACCACTGTGCTAAGGAAAAGTAATTATTATATCTTCTGTCCCTAAAATGACCACGTACATAGTTTGCAGAGGACAGATGTGGGGGCAAGAACTATGTATATCCATGTGCAGTGTTAGAAGGGGGGGAAAAAAAAACAAACCCTGTCGTTTACATTGAGTAGAATGGTCCCATTTCTTATTGTGCTCTGTGCTCAAACATTTAAGAATTTTTAGTTAACATTTCAAAACAGAGAAACACGATCATGACAGACATGTTCTAATTTATTTTACCATGCCCTATTGAAGACACAGTGTGGTGCAGTAGAGAGCATAAATATGAAACCAACATGCTGGAATATAATCCTGGCTCTGCCACTGAGTAGCTGGGTATCTGTGCAAGGTATTCCCTGGGCCTTTGTTTCCTTTTTTATAAAATGAGGATAATGTCAGTACCTACCCTCATAGGGTCTGTTGATAATTAAATCAGTTAGAATATATAAAATGCATGAAACAGTTCTTGGCACACCTTAAGTGCTTTGTAAAAATGATCACTGTCTCAACTGGTAGTAAAATACAGTAGGAAAATATTCTGAATTCACATAGTCCAAGTCTATACAGAAGTGACAAAGTTAAAAATGGAAGAGCTCCTATACATTAAGGAAGCTCTTCAAACAACCAAAGGTATCGTATCTTACACCCAGACCTCAAAATCATGAAATGTATTTTGTTGACAAATGAGAACATGCATGTCCCAAATAAATACACTGAAAGTACTTTAAAAACTACTATTAACCATAACTTTAAATTTGTCTAGAATGTTTTCTTACACTCTACATTAGAGCAGAAGAAAGGATAATGACAAACTGGAGGATTTTAAAGTCTTTCTCACCTTATCATAAAACTCCTATAAGAGAACACAGGCAAAAGATTTTCTGACAATCATACCCATGTTTTCTTAGGTCAGTCTCACAAGGCAATAGAAATAAAAAGACAATCTACAGATAGGAAGAAAATATTTGCAAATGATTCAACAAGGGCTTAATTTTCAAAACATACAAACAGCTCACACAACTTGCCAAAAAAACCCCAAACCACCCCCCAAAAAAGGGCAGAAGACCTAAAGAGACGTTTCTCCAGAGAAGTATACAGATGGCCAATAAGCATGTGAAAAGATGATTAACACTGCTTAGAGCTCCAAAGATGAAAGTTAAACTTGGTGTGTATTCAGGAGAGCATCTAAAAATGTTACTGGTAACTAGCCACACTGTATTTTAGTGATAGGACCAAATGTTGAGTTTATTCTTTGAATGAACTTATTTCTAATATAAAATATCTGAGATGAATACTTGGGGAATTAAAGGAAAGCAGTAAAACTGGGGCTGGAGGACAATATATATAAACCAATCCCATTTTATTTAAATGGTCAGAGAGAAGGAAAATGAAACTAAGATATGCACAGAGATGTAAAGAAAAATGAGGAATAACTATCTGGTTTTGGTAATAAATTATCCAGGCACTGAACATCTACATGAATTTGTAGTCAGTCTCTGTAGCTTTTGTAACACCTACAAGAAAATGGGCATTTATCATTTTCTTTAAATCAATGTTTAACATATTGGCACTCTGTAGTCAAGTTTAAGAACGTAGGCATACTTGGAAAAAATTGGGCTAAGTGATTGATGTGTCATGAATGTTTGTAAATATGGTGAAGAAAGGACTCATCTTTTTTGCTATCAAAGTAATATGAAGAACTGAGAATGTTCTTGTGAGTGTGGATCGGGGAATTAGACTGTAGTTACACCCATAAATCTACTTTATGTTTTAAAACATGTACACAGTGTGTACTGGACAGCACCATCAGTTAGTGTCTTTTCTTTTTCTGTCAGAGGAAACACATGGATTTCATCCTTCCTCTAGTAGCACAATATAAAAGATTCAGTTCAGTTCAGTCACTCAGTTGTGTCTGACTCTTTGCGACCCCATGGACTGCAGCACACCAGGGTTCCCTGTCCATCACCAACTCCTGGAACTTGCTCAAACTCATGTCCATCAAGTCGGTGATGCCACCCAACCATCTCATCCTCTGTCATCCCCTTCTCCTCCTGCCTTCAATCTTTCCCAGCATCAGGGCCTTAGTTTCTAATGAGTCAGTTCTTCGCATCAGGTGGCCAAAGTATTGGAGCTTCAACATCAGTCCTTCCAATGAACACCCAGGACTGATCTCCTTTAGGATGGACTGGTTGGATCTCCTTGCAGTCCAAGGGACTCTCAAGAGTCTTCTCCAACAGTTCAAAAGCATCCATTCTTCAGTGCTCAGCTTTATGGTCCAACTCTCAACATCCATATATGTCTATTGGAAAAAACATAGCTTTGACTAGATGGACCTTTGTCGGCAAAGTAATGTCTCTGCTTTTTAATATGCTGTCTAGGTTGGTCATAAGTTTCCTTCCAAGGAGTAAGCGTCTTTTAATTTCATGGCTGCAGTCACTATGATTTTGGCGCCCCCCCCCCCCCCAAATAAAGTCTCTCACTGTTTCCATTGTTTCCCCATGTATTTGCCATGAAGTGATGGGACTGGATGCCATGATCTTAGTTTTTAGAATACTGACCTTTAAGCCAAACTTTTTCACTCTCCTCTTTCACTTTCATCAAGAGATTCTTTAGTTCTTCACTTTCTGCTGTGAGAGTAGTGTCATCTGAGGTTATTGATATTTCTCCCAGCAATCTTGATTCCAGCCTGTGCTTCATCCAGCCCAGCATTTCCCATGATATACTCTACATATAAGTTAAATAAGCAGGCTGACAATATACAGCCTTGAAGTACTCCTTTCCCAATTTGGGACCAGTCTGTTGTTCCATGTCTGGCTCTAACTGTTGCTTCTTGACCTGCATACAGATTTCTCAGGAGGCAGGTTAGGTGGTCTAGTATTCCTATCTCTTGAACAATTTTCCAGTTTGTTGTGGAAAGCAGAAGTCGATGTTTTTCTGGAACTCTCTTGCTTTTTTGATGATCCAGCGGATATTGGCAATTTGATTTCTGGTTCCTCTGCCTTTTCTAAATCCAGTTTGAACATCTGGAAGTTCATAGTTCACATACTGTTGAGGCCTGGCTTGGAGAATTTTGAGCATTACTTTGCTAGTGTGTGAGTTGAGTGCCATTGTGTGGTAGTCTGAGCCTTCTTTGGCATTGCCTTTTCTTTGGGATTGGTATGAAAACTGACCTTTCCCAGTCCTGTGGCCACTGCTGAGTTTTCCAAATTTGCTGGCATATTGAGTGTAGCACTTTCACAGCACCATCTTTTAGGATTTGAAATAGCTCAACTGGAATTCCATCACCTCCACTAGCTTTGTTCGTAGATTAGTCTTTGCAAAATTCAAGTCTGATCCTGTCTATGCCCCAATTTTCCATCTAACTCCTACTCAACTTCTCTAGATTTAAAACTCAGTGTTGCTTTTTTTTGCCTTTTAGGACATAATCAGGTGACCATCCTCTTGCTCCTACTTGTCTTATAGTGTGTTGTATGATTTTGTGATTGACTCTGCAACCTAACTACACAATAAAGTGCTTGAGTACAGGCACTATTTTACTGATTTTTGAATACAAACACTTTTATTCATTTTATGTCTAATGCCTGCTTTAGTGAAAACTTGATGAATTGAAGTACACCACTGCCACCTTCAACTAAAGCAAAATTTGAAACTTTTTCCCCCAGAGAAAAGATTTCAAATAATGAGATCAATGTTAATTATACTTGTTATATAAACAGGAATATGAAACTCATTCATAACTAGTTTCAGATTTTGTCTTTGCTTGAAAAAACCCATCGAAGGCTTTTTTCACTTTTTCCCCACTGTAGATTTGAAATAAAAGATTGATATATACATGTATATGCAAAGTAAAAGGTAAATAACAGAGTAATTCTGACATGTTTCTATAACAGATATATTTACATTTCTAACCCTAGCAAATAGTTTTGAGTTTGAAAAAAGAAATAAAGACCAAAGTAATGTTTCGTCAAGTCTTACAAGTTTCATTATTACATGATTTCTTTCTTCGTGTATAGTTTGGCTATAATGAAGTCAGTCTATGTAATAAGCAGGATATGAAATACTCATTTTAAAAATCCTACTTTTAATTATTACATCTGCCTATGTATTTTTTTAAAAAGTGATAAATTTTTATATGATGCAAAGACAATTCATTTTCAATATTTACATTACCTTCCAGGTTCATTCCAGCTTGAAGACATTTTCTATAGCGGCATGCTGGGCAGTTTTTTCTTCGAATTTTATCAATGATACAATCATTTCTTCCAGCACAAAGATAATTGTGCTGTCCTGTATGGAAAATAAAGGCACTGTTAAAATTTCTCAGTCCTTAAAGGATACTTTTATGGGGAAGCTCTTTTTTGTTGTTTTGGGTGGAACATAGCCAAGGACCAAAGGCACTGATTAAGGCAGGCATAATGTACATCCAATACAGTCAACTTAAAAAGTCTTTCGTATTGTTCATTAAAAAAAAAAGTTACTGCACTATACATACAGAAAAGTACACAAGTCATAAATTTGTCACGTAATAAACTGAAACTTATTAAGAAACAGAAAGTACCCCTCAAACCCTCTTTTTGCCCCTTTCCAGTCACTGCCTCTTCCTTGATAAACTTTTCATTAAATTGTGCTTTAAACAGTTTCTTAACCATTATAGAAGACCTCTGTAATCACTATTTTATTATGACTTCTAACCCAGATCACACACAATGGTGTGATCACTCACCTAGAGCCAGACATCCTGGAATGTGAAGTCAAGTGGGCCTTAGAAAGCATCACTATGAACAAAGCTAGTGGAGGTGATGGAATTCCAGTTGAGCTATTTCAAATCCTGAAAGATGATGCTGTGAAAGTGCTGCACTCAACATGTCAGCAAATTTGGAAAACTCAGCAGTGGCCACAGGACTGGAAAAGGTCAGTTTTCATTCCAATCCCAAAGAAAGGCAATGCCAAAAAAAATGCTCAAACTACTGCACAATTGCACTCAACTCACATGCTAGTAAAGTAATGCTCAAAATTCTCCAAGTCAGGCTTCAGCAATACGTGAACCGTGAACTTCCAGATGTTCAAGTTGGTTTTAGAAAAGGCAGAGGAACCAGACATCAAATTGCCAACATCCACTGGATCATTGAAAAAGCAAGAGAGTTCCAGAAAAACATCTATTTCTGCTTTATTGACTACACCAAAGCCTTCGACTGTGTGGATCACAATAAGCTGTGGAAAATTCCAAAAGAGATGGGAATACCAGACCACCTGACCTGCCTCTTGAGAAACCTGTATGCAGGTAAGGAAACAACAGCTAGAACTGGACCTGGAACAAAAGACTGTTACCAAATAGGAAAAGGGGTACATCAAAGCTATATATTGTCACCCTGCTTATTTAACTTATATGCAGAGTACATCATGAGAAACGCTGGGCTGGAAGAAGCACAAGCTGGAATCAAGATTGCCAGGAGAAATATCAATAACCTCAGATATGCAGATGACACCACCCTTATGGCAGAAAGTGAAGAGGAATGAAAAAGCCTCTTGATGAAAGTGAAAGAAGAGAGTGAAAAAGTTGGCTTAAAGCTCAACATTCAGAAAACTAAGATCATGGCATCTGGTCCCATCATCTCATGGGAAATAGATGGAGAGACAGTGGAAACAGTGTCAGACTTTATTTTTTGGGGCTCCAAAATCACTGCAGATGGTGATTGCAGCCATGGAATTAAAAGATGCTTACTCCCTGGAAAGAAAGTTATGACCAACCTAGACAGCATATTAAAAAGCAGAGACATTACTTTGCCAACAAAGGTCCATTTAGTCAAGGCTGTGGTTTTTCCAGTGGTCATGTATGGATGTGAGAGTTGGACTGTGAAGAAAGCTGAGCACCGAAAAATTGATGCTTTTGAACTATGGTGTTGGAGAAGCCTCTTGAGAGTCCCTTGGACTGCAAGGAGATCCAAGCAGTCCATCCTAAAGGAGATCAGTCCTGGGTGTCCATTGGAAGGATTGATGCTGAAGCTGAAACTGCAGTACTTTGGCCACCTTATGCGAAGCGTTGACTCACTGGAAAAGACCCTGATGCTGGGAGGGATTGGGGGCAGGAGGAGAAGGGGATGACAGAGGATGAGATGGCTAGATGGCATCACCGACTCGATGGACATGGGTTTGAGTAAACTCCAGGAGTTGGTGATGGACAGGGAGGCCTGGCGTGCTGTGATTCATGGGGTCACAGAGTCGGACACGACTGAGTGACTGAACTGAACTTTACTGAATCTAATGCTTAGGAGGATTAAAGAAAGAGGAAACTGGTTTAAAAATATGGTGAGAGTACCAAAGGGACAGTTACTTTAACTCAGCATGGCACCACCACATGCAAATAAAGTATGCTTCCCTTCCAAATTTTAAATGGTTATTGGTAAAGGCTTAATCTTAATTATGTTAAGGTGGCCAGCAATTAGTCAGGTGAATCACAGACTTGGCAAACTAAACTACTGTATATGTAACTTAGGGAGATATATTCATTATTTCACATGTTTTTAGACACCAGATATTGATGATTGTTACTGTCTAAAATCTTCTGGGACCCAGTATTAAATGTGTTAAGATGCAGAAATGCAGTTTTTACCTGTCAAAACCTCCCTCTACCCTCAGTGTACCCTCTTTTGTTGAAGAAAACTGAGGATTTGCTAGCCTGGCAAAAACTGAAAGGCTCCTTCTACACAAGACCAGCATATCCAAACAGATACACTGGATAGTTAAGTCTCCACGTCCTTACACTAGAGGGGGTGGTATTCAGAAGATTGCAGGACATTTGTCTTCTCAAAAATAAATCATATTCAAAGGAAAGAGAAAAAATAATCATCATCAATTCGTTAGGTTGAATATACCTAGTTCTGATACTAGGAAAAGATCCTTTATGTATAGAATAATCTACTTGATTTGGATAAAACAAACTAAATTCACTTCTTCCTAACATGTTAAATCACAGGGCTTGTTAGGCATTAGTTTGGGGTAGATGGTTAACTAGATCAGTTTCAGTTCTTTAAGGCCACAGAATTTGACTACTGGTCTACAATTCAGCTTTGTTCCAGAGTTGTTATCCAGTGCCAAGTGTCTGTACCAGTCGTTCCTACTCCTTTCTGTATTGTGTAAGTTTCCTAGCTTCTTTTCTAAGAGGACAGGATATGGAAGCTCTAACCCAATAATTCTGTTATACAGAATTAAAGAAGGAACAACAAATAAAATCATAGTTGAAGCAGTTATAATAATGAAGACGTTTTAACCCATAAGACTACCCCTGAATCATTGTTCTTCAGTTAACTAGAAGGACAATTAAAAAAATTATAGTAAACACAGAGAAAGTTTCAATACTTTATATCTAACCAAAAGCTCAGAATGTGCATGTTAAGCTAATATTTATTTTTGGCTGTGCTGGTTCTTCCTTACTGTATGGGCTTTTTCTCTAGTTGTGGCAAGCAGGGGCTACTCTCTAGTTGCAGTGCTTGGGCTTCAACAGTTGTGGCACATGGGCTAAGTTGCTCTGTAGCATATGGGATCTTTCCAGATCAGGGATTGAGTCTGTGTCTCCTGCATTAACAAATGGATTCTTTACCACTGAGCGACCAAGGAAGCCCTAATAAATGTTTTCCTTATCCTAGGTATATCAGCACAATTAAGAATCTGAGCTACAGAATCAGGGGGCATTGTACCTTCATAAGTTCAAATGCTCTATCTGGTTATTAGTATGAAGTTTGATAAGTATGTGGGTATCGTATCTATAAAAAGAGGAGTTTCAACTAGTGGTCACTGTTTACAAGGCATGGACATGTACTCCCTGTCAATATATTTGATAAGAGAATAAGACATTTTAGTTTGGAGTTTCTGTCTTCTACCACTTGGTAAATTTGTTTTCTTACTAGAAAGAGAGCAGATGTCAGGAGAAAAGCCTTCAGGCCAGCTGGGATTTCTCTATCGTTTTGTTTGTATTGTCCTTATTTTTACAATAAAAATCAGTTTTTGCACTCATTTATGATAAAAACTATCCAGAAAGCAGGCATAGAAGGAACATACCTCAACATAATAAAAGCCATATATGATAAATCCACAGCAAACATTATCCTCAATGGTGAAAAATTGAAAGAATTTCCCCTCAAGTCAGGAACAAGACAAGGGTGCTCACTCTCACCACTACTATTCAACATAGTTTTGGAAGTTTTAGCCATAGCAATCAGAGAAGAAAAAGAAATAAAAGAAATCCATATTGGAAAAGAAGAAGTAAAGCTCTCACTGTTTGCAGATGACATGATCCTGCACATAGAAAACCCTAAAGGCACCACCAGAACATTATTAGAGCTAATCAATGAATAAAGTTGCAGGATATAAAATTAATACACAGAAATCCCTTGCATTCCATACACTAACAATGAGAAAACAGAAAGTGAAATTAAGGAAACAATCCCATTCACCAAGACTAAAATACTCTATATAGAAAACTATAAAATGCTGATGAAAGAAATCAAAGATGACACAAAATAGATGGAGAAATATACCATGTTCATGGATCAGAAGAATCAATATAGTGAAAATGAATATACTACCCAAAGCAATCTACAGATTCAATGCAATCCCTATCAAGCCACCAATGGTATTTTTCCCAGAACTAGAACAAATAATTTCACCATTTGTATAGAAATATAAAAAAACCTTGAATAGCCAAAGCAATCTTGAGAAAGAAGAATGGAACTGGAGGAATCAACCTGTCTGACTTCAGACTACACTACAAAGCTATAGTCATCAAGACAGTATGGTACTGGCACAAAGATACAAATATAGATCAATGGAGCAAAATAGAAAGCCCAGAAATAAATCCACGCACCTATGGACATCTTAGCTTTGACAAAGGAGGCAAAAATATACAATGGAGAAAAGACAATCTCTTTAACAACTGGTGCTGGGAAAGCTGGTCAACTACCATTAGCAGAATGAAACTAGAACACTTTCTAAGACCATACACAAAAAAACTCAAAATGGATTAAAGATTTAAATATAAGACCAGGAACTATAAAAACTCCTAAAGGAAAACATAGGCAAAACACTCTGACATAAATCACAGCAAGATCCTCTATGACCCACCTCCCAGAGTAATGGAAATAAAAGCAAAAATAAACTAAAAGCTTTTGTACAACAAAGGAAGCTATAAGCAAGGTGAAAAGACAGCCTTCAGAATGGGAGAAAAATAATGGCATAACGAAGCAACTGACAAAGAATTAATCTCAAAAATATACAAGCAGCTCATGCAGCTCAGTACCAGGAAAATAAATGACCCAATCAAAAAATGGGTCAGAACTAAAGAGACAGTTCTCCAAAGAAGACATACAGATGGCTAACAAACACATGAAAAGATGCTCAACATCATTCATCATCAGAGAAATGCAAGTCAAAACCACAATGAGGTACCATCTCATGCTGGTCAGAATGGCTGCTATCAAAAAGTCTACAAACAAATGCTGGAGAGGGTCTGGAGAAAAGGGAACCCTCGTACACTGTTGGTGGGAATGCAAACTAGTGACAACCACTATGGAGAACAGTGTGGAGATTCCTTAAAAAACTGGAAATAGAACTGGCATTCGACCCAGCAATCCCAGTGCTGGGCATACACACCGAGGAAACCACAATTGAAAGAGACACGTATACCCCAGTGTTGATTGCAGCACTGTTTATAATAGCTAGGACATGGAAGCAACCTAGATATCCATCAGCAGACGAATGGATAGGAAAGTTTTGGTACATATACAAAATGGAATATTACTCAGCTATTAAAAGGAATGCATTTGAATCTGTTCTAATGAGGTGGATGAAACTGGAGCCTATTATACAGAGTGAAGTAAGTCAAGAAAGAAAAACACCAATACAGTATATTAACGCATATATATGGAATTGAGAAAGATGGTAATGATGACCCTGTACACGAGACAACAAGAGAGAGACAGATATAAAGAAGAGACTTTTGGACTCTGTGGGAGAAGGTGAGGGTGGGATGATTTGAGAGAACATCATTGAAACATGTATATTACCATATGTGAAACAGATGACCAGTCCAAGTTTGATGCATGAAACAGGGCACTCAAAGCCAGTACACTGGGACAACCCAGAGGGATGGGATGGGGAGGGAGGTAGGAGGGGGGGTGATGGGGACATATGAACACCTGTGGCTGATTCATGTCAATGTATGACAAAAACCACCACAATATTGTAATTAGCCTCCAACTAAAATAAATAAATTTTTTAAAACCCAGGATCAAATGCCAAAAACTGATTATTTTTGGTAGGAGTTGTAGCCTGCCTCCAAGTTGACCCCCAGTGGTCTCTGTCTCCTGGTAGTCACACTCTGATTACCCTTCCCACACTATACCAGGACTGGCATGTGACCAATAAAATAGGGCCAAAGTGACTATGTCACATCTGAGATTGAGTAATAAAGAAAATACGTTCTCATATTCACCACAGTCTCTCCCTGTGGATCGTTTGTTCTGGGGGATGCCAGTTGCTATGTTGAGAGCAGCGTTAGAAGAGGCCTACATGATGACGAACCGAAGCTTCCTGCCAAAGCAGTGTTAATGAGCTGCAAGTGGAGTCTGCAGCTTCCACCAACAGTCTGAATGTAACTTCATGAGAGACCCAGCACTACCCAGCTAATAAGCTGTTCCCAAATTCCTGGCTCTTAAGAAACTGTGTGACATAATTGACATCTGTTGTTTTTAGCCACTAATTTGGGGGGTAATTTGTTACACATCAACAGATAACTAATACAGTAGGGATAGTAAAAGTGTTGTTTTAAATAAATTTTAAGTTATAAAAAATAGTGATCCAAGAAAAATACTAGGTAGTAAACAGAAGAATGATGCATGGACATGATCAAGTTAATTAATTAACATAGTACAGGAAACAGGCCACACAGCAAACTGCATCATCTAGGGTTTTTTGTAGTTTGTAAATACTCTGCTGGAAGTACCCAAGTTTCAAATGTGAACTGTGACTGTGAGCTTAAGTGCGACAGCTTCACACTGAAGAAAGCTTCAGCTTCTTTACTGCTGTCAAAACCAGTGTCGTATAGTGCAAAGTGCACTTGGCAAGGTTGATAGGAAGCCCTTGGTCTGAATTGTAGCTCTGCTGCCTAGCTGTGTGATCTCAGTAATGTTTATTAACCTTTCTGAGCTCCCAGTTTCTCCATCTGTAAAGCTGGAAAATTAGCATCTACCTTGCTGTGCTTCTGCAAGGGTTAAAGGCAGTTGTGAAGAACATTCTTAAAATAGTGCCTAACACATTGTAGGCACTCAATAAACACTATGAATATTTCCCTTGTTATTGCTTTCATCTCAGTATGTAACTAGATTATAAACTGCCAAGAGATGAGATTTTTATCCTTTCAGAAGTCAGTGAAGCATTGAGGTTAAGAGCCTGTTTGCAGACAGCTATGCTTGAATCCTAAGTCTGCTGCTTAAGCTGTGAGCGTCAGTTCCCTAGTGTATCAAATAAGAGCTCATAGAGCTGGTAAGTAAGTAGTATGACATATATAAAACGTAGTACTTGGGTGTGCTCGTCACTCAGCTGTGTCTCTTAGCTACCCCATGGACTGTTGCCCGCCAGGCTCCTCTCTATGGGATTTCCCAGACAAGAACACTGAGTGGGTTGCCATTCCCTCCTCCAGGGGATCTTCCTGACCCAGGGTAGTATGACATACATAAAACATAGTACTTGGTAAATTATTAAGAAAAGTAGCATGTGTTTGTCTCCAATATGACCCACCAACAAAGAATATATGGAGTTTGTGCAAAGGGAGCATAAGAAGAAGGGACTCAGTGAAAAAAAGACCACTGAACTAGTATACATCTAAAGAAATGAAGCTACCCAAATTCTTTTCTGTACACAGAAAGTAACTCCCAGAATAATGAATAAAATTCAAAATCTCAATCCTTGATCTGGCTTGTATGGACAAGAAAAACTTGTACAAATTTCCTAAAAATATTTATAGCTTTTGGGTCTTTATGATACTATGTCTGTTTGGTGGATAATCTATAATTTCTGGCAAGTATTAAAAATGGAATGAATGTAGTGTAACGAAAATCACACAAGCTTCATCTTTGTAACTGTTCAAGAAAGTGCTCTAAAATCTGTATATGGGCTTAAAACATATTCTCATCATGTCTAGAAAGAGATAAGTAGATCTGCTGTGAGTTAGGTTAGCAAGTGATTACAGAATTTTAGAGCTGGAAGGGACTCTGGAGAAAATTTAAATCCAAATAAAGGATTTACTTAGGGCTTCCCTGGTGACTCCGATGGGAAAAAAATCTACCTGCAATTCAGGAGACCCACGCTCAACCCCTGGATCGGGAAGATCTGCTTCAAGTTAGGATAGCAAATGATTTCAGAATTTTAGAGCTGGAAGGGACCATGGAGAAAATTTAAATCCAAGTAAAGGATTTACTCAACACAGTTTACATTTTAACCTTTTCTTATTTATCATGTAATCTTAGCTATCTCATATTTAACTGAAATACATATATATATTTTGAAAGAGCACAGCTAATATTCACATATTCATAGCTAAAAACATGCATAAGAATTTAATTCTAAAGCAGAGAATTTAATCCTAAAGCATAGGGGGCATATGGCCTGCAGTGATGTCTTATTTGTAATATATTTAGCTTTTCTTTTCAAATTGCATTTGGACGCTTTTAGGTAAGGCATGCTTGCACTCTCTATCAGTGACTGCCCTTCTTCACTCATTTGGTATTGTATTTGGCCAGAATGACACATACTCAATACCTGTAGGCACTGGAACTGGAATTTTTAGCCCCATTTTAAGAAATAATTTTAGTTAAAATGAGGGAAATGGAAAAAAAAAAATTTTTTAAAAATTCCTGTATTTCTTTTAAGGCTCCATTGTCTCATTCTGAATTTCACTTTCAGAATTAAATCTGTCAATATTACTTGTTATATACAGGAATACTGTAACACTGTTATCACATTTACACCATGGACAGAACTAATCAGTGAAGGAAGTGCTGAATAAAGTGAGGACAAGAAGCAGCTTCCATCTGGGGCAGATAACATCTACTTTGTTAGCAGCATTGCATTAATTAGGGATGAGCTTTACTTAATGACTCTACTCAGTTGCTGGGTGATAACCAAACTGGTTAAAGCCTCAATTCCTGTGCTCTCTGTGGAATAATTTAAGTAATTTTATAGTTTGCTAATGTATTAAAAGCAATCCAAACAAAAGAAAATGACTCATCTAACCCTTAAGCATATGCAAACACAACTGAAGCCAAATAATAATACTTCATGTGCTGTGAATAAATACATTAAGTTTTAAAAAATATAATTATCTAATCAGAGCTTTAGGTAATCCGTTCAGGCCACACTGCCTTCTAACTGCTTTACAAATAACTAAATTACACAACAGTTTTTCCCAAGAGGATTCACTGGTAATATTAGAAAATTTTAGTGTGACTTCCAGTAATTTGCTTATGGAATGAATTTTACCTTTAAGGAGGTGACGGGCAGACTGAGTCTGTAACAAGGGTAAACATTATGTGAATATAATATTTGTCAAGTGAAATCACTTTCTTTTAAACACCTTTCCTGACCTCCCCAGGCAGTTTATCACTTGCTCCTCTGTGTTATAATCTCTGTACCTTGTAACTATGAACTCATCTTTCACTTCCAAGTAGACTGTGACCTCCCAGAGGACAGTGGGAGGTCCTTACATCACATTTATATCACATAGCACAGCCCTGGCTTATTAGAAAACAAAACATGTTTCCCCCTCACTATCACTCATTTTTGCCAGACTAGAATAGTGGGTGGCTCTAAAACTAGCCAACTGACGGGAATTAAAGTTGGTAATACTAATACAATGAGCACTAGTTGCTGCCGAAACCTAAAACCATCATTTCACATGCATAGCACTTTCTTACGGTTATTTTCTGTTCTCTGACCATACTCCCTCCCTTCAATTTTTACTTGTCTGTTTTATCTTAGTTTGCTTTTAAAAGTATCTTTTTCCCACTAGAAGAGTTAGGAGCCATCCTCCTATCCCTGATTTTAATGACTTCCAGTGTTAAAGGGCTTTGCATACAGAATCCAGTCTGAGAAACAGAAACCAAATAGAGGAAAAATAAAACTCTTCAAAACACACACTACCTTCCACTGCTCTTTTGAAGAATACTTTACAGCTTCCACAAGTCAGGACCCCATAGTGGCACCCCGAAGCCTCATCTGAGCACACCAAGCAGAGTTTGGGGGGCGGCCCCGCAGCCGCCGAGGAGCTGGACGGGGGGGAGCTCACATCCGGCCTCATTCCCGGGCTAGGAAGGAAGAAAGCAGTGTTAGGGTCTAACTGTCAGGACTGTCAAACAAACACAGTTCTCTTACCTCTTTCACTCCACAGTAAACATGTTCACACTGAACGTGTGTATTTCAAATACTGGCAAGAATGAAAAAAAAATCCTACCAAGACGTAGTCAAATGTTTTATTATTCTTCTATACAAAATTAAGAGTGAGGTCATTTATTTTTAAGTATCCCTTAGAAGTTCCCTGGAGGTCTAGTGGTTAGGATTTGCCACTTTGATTTCCACAGTCCCAGGTTCAATTCCTGGTCGAAACTGAAATCCCACAAGTCATGCAGCATGGCAAAAAAAAACCCAACACACAAAAAATCTTTAAGAAGAATGGTGAAATTGTGCTTTGCTTAGATACAATTTTTAGTTGCTTGGCATCTGTTTACAATCATCTTTAAAGGAATAATTGTGTAATTACCACCATGATCAAGAGATACAGTATTATCCATCTTCCCCCCAAAGATGCCACCTATGTAAGAAATTTCTCTCTGCAATATTCTTAATCTGCCTATTCTCTAAAAGAGATAATATTTAGGAATAAACTTTGGGTGTTAGGTGTGTCTTTATTAATGCAACTAATAATATGATTAAATCTCAATTATAAATATGCTTAATTCACAGAACAAACTAAAGAAACTGAGTTGTCAACATGGTTAGAAATTGTATTAAGTAACATCTTTTTGTTCTGTTTTAGGAATAAAACTTAAAAGTTAATCGTAAAATAATAATTTGTTACTTTAAGTAATTAAGCTGATAAACTCCAAAGCTCCCCCTAAATTCTGTCCTTAAATGAAGCATACTGGACTTAGCCAAACCTATGTTTATCTAGAGGCTTAGTGAATAGGACAGCATTCCTACCAGCCCAGCTCTGGGAATAGGCCCCAGGGTTTCATATTTTTCTCTCAACATTGTTAAGGAGAACTTCTGCATGCTTCTGTATCACAAGGTATTGATCCCAGTTAGATCTGGGAGAATGGACAGAGTGCATACTGAAAGCCTGCAATGGAAGAGAATAACCTGAAATGACTCTGCTGTAGGTCTGGCACAAGTCATGTCTAATTAATGGAAACTTGTGACTAATGCAGCGGAGCTGCTATGGGCCGGAGTTTTACAGAGAAGCAGGAAGGTCTTGGAGTGAGTGAGCAGAGCAATGTGCTAGGGAAGCAAAAACTTGTCTGGTTTTTGTTGTGAAGATGCTTCTACTCCGGTTCAGCCAATCTCTGTCATCTGACATATATTTTTAGGGACCGACCAGTTGTTTGTAGATTTCATTTTTGGAAAATAAGTGCAATATTCAATGATTTCAAACATTAACTCTGTACTGTTTCCTCAGCCAGTTTTTTATATATATAATAAAATATATATATGTACATGATATATTTGCACACACTAGTATATACTAAAAGTGTTTTCACAGTACTTAGGTGTAGTATTTAATAGTTTTGAAACACTTTCATGAATACAGTCTCATCCGTCCTCTCAACAACCCTGTGAAAAGGATGTCATCACCTCTAGATGAGGTTACTCAGCTGTCAGAGGTTGATGAGGGAGCCTGCTTGTGGTCAAACTGACGTGTTTCAGATCTCAGTTCTACCATTTCATAGCTTGTGTGACCTTGGATAGGTATTTACTACCATGAGCCTCTGTTTTCTCATGAGTACAGTGAAAGGATATTATCTGTGTCTGTGTGTTATAAGAGAACACACTCAAAGTCTAGTGTATAATTCCTCCATCTAGCAGGCACTCGATAAATGTTCATTCTTTTTCAGGAAAACTGGAGATTTTACGAGAAAGCCTGGTATAAGTATTATGTAAGTAGTATTAAGTCTAAAATCTAGGACAGTATTCCCAAATTCTCAGTTATAATTAGAGCATATGCAAAATACATTCAGGCCAGTCAACTGTGAGCTAGAGATGACAAAAAGGAAAGTTAAAACTAAATGGACAAGTGGATTGATCAAACTGCAACTAAAAATCTGGAACTTTAGTCAGGCTTTTGGCATCCCTTCAGGCAGTTATTCTAGGCTACATCAGGTAAGAAGTGAGTTCATGGAAAGCTACCAAGCATACCACAAACATCATTAGAGAAAAACCAGTTTTTGTCACACAAATAGGAGCACCAAGATGGCCTATAGTGAACACCACTGGGAGAAATGGATGAACGCAAAGTGGTCTTCAATTGCAAACATGACCCTATGATACTGCTTTAAAAGGCTAGGGTTCAAGAAAATGGTTAGAACTCAAAAGGAAAACATATGAAATCACCATATTTTAACAAGGATACATGACAGAAAGAAATAAAAAAGCACAACATAATAAGAGTGTATATCACACTTATTCTGAATAGGAAAGCCAAGATGTCTTAGTCCTTGCTTAATGTGTTTACAGCTGTGTCAAACATTCTGAAGATGCTAAGAGATTCTATTATGAACTGACTGTATCCAGAGTGCTTTCTTTTAAGTGAGGACCCAAAATAACAAAACGTGCTGTTTCAGATGAATATTTGAATGCTGTCTCCCATTCAGAATGGAAAGTATACTGGACATTGCTGTTCTTAAGGTCACCGAGTTTACATATGAGAGAGAAAACGAAGTATAAAGCAGGATTTTCTATTTAATTGTCTTGGAGAAAAAAAGCAGCCAATGAAAGGAGGACCATGGATGGAGAATCATGGGTGGATTATGAAAGTTCCTCACACACCTTGAAGAACAGCTGAAATGTGCAGGCAGATTACACCCTTTCACTCAGCAGATGATTCCTGATATCTGGATGAGGAATTCCTGGCACTGTGAGGATACAGAAGTCTTATATATGGTATGGAAGTTGTCTCATACATGAAAATGTGTTACTGAAATGATAGTGGACTTAGCAACTTCGATCTAGGTAGGAGGAGCAGAATTATTTTTGGCTGCTTTGGTGTCGAGGTAGTACTTCTGCAAGAGATGGAGCTAGGAAATGTAGACAAACAGCACTGTGATGACTGTGATAGTGGCTGGCTGACCCAACCCCTGACTCTGTTTCCTTATTGGTACCTTTTCAGGATTTTTTAGGTAGATTATATATTTGAATTATATAAAGTACTGGTACACACTTGATAATCAAACAGTATATTTTTCCTTAACACTCAGGCATTAACTTTTTTTCCCTTGACTCCTCTTTCCCTTCTGGAGGATCTCAAAGAATGAGAAATGCTTTGAAGAGTGTTGCCTGTGAGCCAGGGGAGGGTTAAATCCTCCAGAAACTTCTCAATTGGGAGCAGTTTTACTCCCCAAGAGACAGTTGGTTAGTCTGGGGACATTTTTGGTTGTCATAACTTGGGACATGCTACTGGCATTGTGAGAAGAGGCTAGGGTGCTACTAAACCTCCCACACCGCACAGCAGTCTCCACGACAAATAATTATCCAGCTTCAATGTCAGTAGTGCTGAGGATTAAGAAATCTTTGCTATAAATCTTTAAGCAACATAAAGTGGAGAAAAAGAAAATTCAACAAGGACCAGAAATTTACCATAAAACCTTCTAAACTACCTTTTAAAGGAGAGCAACTGCCCTAACTGAGGCAGCTGCAAATATTCTTTGATTCAAGACAAGTCCAAAATGAGATTCAAAACAGACCTGAAGCCAGGGGACTATACAGGTCTAGTGATTAGCTAGAGTGAGTAATTTTATTTTTCCCTTTAGCTCTAGCCCTAAGAGGTAGTTTTTACACATTAATGTCACCTGCACTTTTCTTATCTTTGTTCATTAGGTAAAATGTAAATACTCAGCTGCACACACCAGGTGATTATATTTTCTGACTGCCCATTTATCCCTGCATTAGCTAAAGGATTACTGCGTTGTTTGATAATAAGCCATGGGATAGTTTTCAAATCAAATAGAAAAATACTCTGGGGAAAGGTTTTTATAGTATTTCTGTTAAATGGTTTTAGCAGAGTGCATTTTATCTTATTTAGCAAACCAAAGAAAGACTGATTAATCTGCTTTTGCACTTGTTGACAGAAGTTTCTATTGGTTTTAACTTCAGGTGCATATTAAGATAGTTTCCTCCAACTTTGCATCATTTATACTTACTCATCTTATGGAGGAGATTAGAGAACAAAGTCTGTACTGTAAGCCTGTACTGTAATGTTCAGGAGCGTTTTCAGTAAAGGATGTGTGATGGAGGAGATGTCTTTTTTCAGATCTGAGACACCAGTGGCGTGTCATTTACAATCTCTGCACTCAGTTTCCTTGGCTGTAAAAATGAAGGTGCTGAATCAAAAAAACTCCGAAGAAGTTGTCCATATATCCCAAGGTAGAGGTAGGAAGTAGGGAAGAATACTCTTGGGTCTGTGAAAGGCTTCTTTGGACCTGTACATTTATTTATTTAAAGGAAGAGAGAATATGGTCACCTTATCTATGCTTCTTTCTTAAACTCAACATGTTTTCTTGTGTTTTTCCTTTTCTTTAGGAGGATCAGTCCGTGGTTGAGTGATTGTGCTGCACAACTTAGTCCCTAACAGAAGAAATACTGTTTCATGTTTTCAGTTCTGTTTGCTTAGGCTTGCACTGAGGGCCATGCATTCCAAGGAGGAGTAATGGTGTTCTAGTAACAGAACATTAAGACCAAGAGTAAGTAGCAAGAACTGCGAGGAAAAACTTTCTTAAGCGAGGAGAAACTTTCTTCATTACATGGTTATTTCTAGAATGAAGACCTGATTTTGTTTTGATGCTTTCTTGCTTCTAAGAGCACACAAGGATAATAACTATGATTTGGTACATGCAGAATTATAAATGTGACATCTTCATATAAGGCAGTAACAGGTTTGAGACAATATTACACTCACTGCTTTCTTCATGTGTGTGTGTATGTATCTAGGGTTGAAACCAGTGGCTGTGGAGTGTTTCTGAGCTTGAATCTTTAATTTTTAAAAATGTCCTTTCAAGACTTGTTTTTTTCTCATAAACCAATATATTTATAGTTTTAC